TAACCAGATTTCATAACTTATATACTAGTCAGTAGCTTAGCTAAAAAAATCCATCCAACATCCTTATTCTCTGTAATAGAAACAAACATAAAATAATAATACAGGAAATAATGAGATAAAGATTTTACACATCTAGATGCAATGTCTAGTAATTCAGGTCTTTTCTCATGCTAATAGAACTGCTTAGATTTAGCAGCAAAAGACAATTGCATGTCACAAAGTGGCATAATACAAACTGAGGAACTTTTAATATCTGTGAGAAAAATTACATTATTAGCATTCATAGCATAGCCTATAATGTACCATAATTCCATTACTTAAGAGTAGCATTTGTTTGATCTATTCGGAGCAATTCTGGATACGAAGATCTAATTCACAGACACAATCTTATTACAGTATCTGAGACCAATAGGACTATTGCTGCCTTTCCTGTGCACCACAGGACTTCTGGGTACAGACGGTAAGGACACATTCATGTTTAATTACTATGAAAATGTCACGTAAAGAATGAGAAGGGAGTTAAATCACAGTACAAAGATTTAAACTGGAAGCTGGTAAGGTTTTAATAACACTCTGCATGTGAATTATGCTTCCAATAACACATAAATGTATTATGAAGCTTTAGCTGGTATAAAGCAGTTTCTTATGGCTTAATGTATTTGAAAAGAGAATGGCTGTACTTTGTGGTAACAGAAATACCAATTATGAATCAAACTCATAGTTTAATTCACTTAATTATAGCTGCAGTTAAGGCAAAAGCCACGTTTAAATACTTTTTCTTCAGTTTGTGAAAGTGGAGAGACAATATTCATTTCCTTGTATTTATTGGAGTACAGTATGAAACCCCAGCCATTTGCTGCACTGCCATGTGCCCTCTTGGCATGCCTCTCATTTTAGCTGGACTCCAGCCACACTGCAGGCCACCTCCTACCTCTGCCTCTTGCCATCCACCAACACGGAAATGGCGGTTCCTCTGTCACTGGCCATTTCCCTTTTCATCTGCCACAGTGCCTCCAGCCTTACCTCTGTATCCCAGGATATCCAACCACACAAGTGTTATAAGCGTCTGCAGGAGACGGCAGAGAGGCAATTTTGAAGGAAGCTAATACACTTGATACTTGGTGTCTCAGGTGCCCGTGCCCAGGTGTTGGCGAGAATCTCTGTGAGGAGAGGTCAGGGCTGCCTCATGCCTGGCACGGCTGGTTCCAACCGGTTCCAGCCAGTTCCACAGCAGCCCCACTGCCGGGCACGGCTGAGCCCATCATCGGCACTGGTGCAGCCTCTGTGGTAACAGATTGAAGAAGGGGAAAACCACACAGCTGCCAGGAGTGAGGAAAAAAGTGTGAGAAATGAGCCCTGCGAGCACCCAGGTCAGAGAGGGAGGAAGACCTCCGGGTGCCCGAGCAGAGACTCCCCTGCAGCCCCTGGAAAGACCATGGTGGAGCAGATTTTTTCCTGAAGGACTGCAGCTTGTGGAGAAGATCCACACTGGGGCAGGAGAGAAGCATGAGCTAAGTTGCTTAAGCTGAGAATAGCACATGTACTTGCTCTGTGACAAGCCAAGTGACTTGCCCCTGAAAAAATCCAACCCATTAAGACCACCTTGCCTCAGCAGGTGAAAGCAACATCGCCAGACATTTTGAAGAGGGCTTGTAGTAGCCTCAGGTGAAAAGTTCCTTGCTCTTCAGATTCTTCTTCATTTTACTTACTAATAAAGACAGGATGAGTAGCTCTGTTTTTCCAGTACAATCACTGCAATAAAAAAATTAAGGAAAAAAAAAATCTTGTGTTGGTGTACTGAGATCTAGCTACAGACTAGTTAATATCCCTCTGCAAAAAAAAAAAAATTAACATGTTAAGGAGTATTTGGAAGAAAGGATTTTTATTGTATTACAAGATTTTTACCTCATATATATGGAAGCATTATTCTGTTAAAAAAAGGCCTTATCACAATCCTGACCGCAGGGGAGCCATGACAGAGCTTGACAGCTCAGATTTGTCCTAACTGCTCCTTTTAGGATTTAAGTAGCAGTCTTCAGCCTCAGCCCCCATCCCTACATCTGCTTTAGCTGGAAGTGAGTAAGAACATCTAAAATTTAGAGATAGACCCCTTTTGGCCTCAGTACAGCTGCCAACCCTTCAAAAGCCACTACTATTCCATTCCCACTGCTCCACCTCTGAGAAGGTAAACACAATATTTCATGTACATTTAATACTAACATGCAATATTTATTACCCTTTCCAGCTTTAAGTTCTGTTTAGCATTTTATCTCAAACCGGCACCAAAAAACCCCATACAACTGGAAAGATTTCAGTCCTTAAACCCATGAAAACTGCAGTTAAATGAGTTGCTTTACAAGGTCACAATTAAAAGCTTATTTGCATTGTATATAATCAACTGTCTTACACTCTAAATTATCTTGTCATTACAGTGGTACAGGAACTTTTAAAGAGATGTTAAAGGATTTGAACCTGCATTATCTCATTACTTTTATGCAATCTGTCAATAAATCAATGTATTGTGTATGACTGGAAGTGCCTGGCATATTCTTCTTAACTGTCTACTGCAATGGTAAAACTCACTTTAACATCCCTGAGCTTTTCAGACCCCACATCTCAACCTCCAATGCAACACAAAGACGTCATACTGCAGCGTCCCATCTCTAAAAATCCACGAGAGTGCAAACTGGCCCCAGCCCAGCCCATTGGCCAAGCACACAGGCTTTTAGGTTACCCATCAGGCTTCCCTGCCTGCACAGCCAGCCTTGCCCCTGACAATTAGGGCACTCGCTGCCTCTGACCACCTGCACAAAGGGCATGATAGGAAGATGGACACAATGTCAGCAGATGGTCTGTAGAACAAGGTGAACAAAAGCAAAAACTCAACCCGCAACAAACATGGAGGATGCAGGTTGAGGCCCAGCTGGAACAACGCAGGAAGCATGAGTGGCACAGCACAGAGGCTCAGCCAGGGCACCCACTGCAGAACGGCAGCATGAGGAGAAGACAAGAGTGCTGCAAGATGGGGATGCACAGCAGGGTAGGGCTGATGGGCAGCTGAGGGAACAAGAGGTAGCCAAGGAAAGCCTGGGGCCAGCCTGGCACACCTGCACTCCATGTATGCTGTCACAGGAGGAAAGGGCTGAACCTGAGCACCCTCATGCTCAGAGTCACACCAGCTGGGTACTGCCACCCAGTCAGCTAGGGGACACAGCCTGCAGGCTAGGGGGGGGCACCTGCAGCAGCTCCCCTGTGGATGCAGGGCTACATTGGAGTCAGGCCTTCACCCAGGTCTTGGTGGAGGCTCTGGGAGCTGCAGGCTGAGGAATCACACCTCAATGCTCATCTGCCCCAGCAGTGATGCTTTAGAATGCCAGCACCCTCCTTCCCAAGGGTGTGGGCATGGGAAGGTCATTTCTCAGTTCCTCCCCAAGGTGGGCAAACAGCTTAAGTCCAGCTCAAAGAAGTGGAAAGTGTTGTTTAAAAAAAAAAAAAATTCACACACACACACACAGAGTCTGAAAGACCAGAGGTAGTGCCAGGAGCAACCTGCAGTGTGAGGGGAAGGGTCTTGCCTTCCACAGACTCCAGCTCCATCTTCAGGTACTTCCATCTACTCCCCACCAGACTTCTTTGAAGAAACAATGTGCTGATACATTAAGAACCCTTTCTTAGAGTAAACACCTCAATAATTCTCACACTTCTGTCTTCTACTATTGCTTCCTCCAAAACTCTACCCCTCAAGCCCAGAAAAAACAAACCCCCACGTAAAAAATACATTTTGAAATCCTACCAAAATCTGTTTTCTGTTTTGTTAACTGCTGGCTAGTCAACATCCTTCCCTGGCTTTAAGGAGAGCAGCTGTCAAGTGGCCTTGAACTTGCTCAAGCTGCAGAGGCTTTGTTACAGAGACACTCCCCTGCAAGAGACCAGTTCCAGCTGGATGTTGATATTTCACATTATTCACACATGTTAAACATTTAAAAATATACAAGTTACTTAAGCTTTAAGCAATGTGCTAAAATACAAAGACCAAAGCTTCTCCTTTTATTAAGACTTCAAAAAGACAGTATATTAGTTCTGCTCATCTCTGCTTTTGCTGAAACAGGTGAAGTTACAGCTCACTTCATATGTCTTTGGCCATTATTCCCTATTGAACTTTCAACCTCCACCTTATTAGTCAGATGCGTTGTTTCCAGCAGAAACTCCCTCCCATTTGAGCAAGCCTCATGTGTTTAAACAAGAGGGGCTCCCACCAGCATCCGTCTCTCACTCCCTTCTTGCCCAAACTATGGGTACAAGCTGTAGGATTTAAGTGCTGGCAGCTCCTATTTTTAAACAGTACCAGCTCATCTCAGTAGGTTAAAAAAATAAAAATCATACCTTATTGTATGCAACAGACTAATGAAAAGGCTATGTATCAGCATAAAAGGCAATGTATAACTCTTACAGTTCTGCTTGTGGAGGAAGTTATGCAAAGCCTCCTGGTGTTAAGCATCTGGAAGGCAAGAACACCCCAGTGTGCTATAAAGTGATAGCCCAGCTCCTGGCAGCTCCTCGCTTGCAGAAGAATCAAGCATATATTCCAGATACTTAGTACTGCTTTCCCATGTGTCAGCAGCTCTTGTGAACAGGTCCAATCCATCCAGGCAAAGAGGATACACACATTCCATCTCTCAGCTGTGGTATACTTGAAGAAAGGTACTCAAGTTTCAGCCTACATATGTGGAGAATAAAATACCACCAGGCAGACAGGATAGAACTGCAGCGAGGTCCCTCAGGCATGTCCTTGTTCAGTCATTTTGTTTGCTGGAGTTGCATCTGTGACACAGAAGTACTCAAGGCTGTGGGCCCAGAAAGGAGCTACAGAAGCCTTCCAAATTTCAGAGGCATGATACATTCATTTGACTTTATGTTATCAAATATACTCAATAGCAAGATCGCTGCAACTCAGCAGTCTGTGCTGATGCCTCCCAGAGGCCAGAAGAGCATTCTCAGCTTCATTTCCAGTTCTCCTTCTCATCAGCACCTGAATGGGTGTGTAGTGAATCCTTGGGGGGTCCGGGGGGTGAGGAAAAAAACAAAACAAAACAAAAGAAGAGATTTCTTCTGTGCCCACTTCCCCTTCAGTTCTTACTGCAAGAGGAGGATCAAAGAATCCCAGCCCATCCTTTCACCCACAGGGCCAGCTAGTGCTATACAATCCACCACTACAGTAGGTATTTTGCCACAAAGAGCTGTCCCACCATATTCCCTCTCTGCAGTTTCAACTTTCCTGCCACTACAAATTTTAATTTGAATGATTTTGCTTAGGAAGAAAAAGTAGAATCTCAGCACAAACATCTCTCATCCTGGTTGCACAAGGTAGGCTTTGCTAGCATGGGATTTTTCTTTACCTGGGTTAGAAGTTGATGATGCCTCAGCTGTCTATAGAACTGCAACACAGAAGGATCAGCTCTCACAACTTTCGGATCAAAATCCAGAACACGGAGACCTGCAAGGCTACGGGCTCGGGAAAGAGCTACATAAGCCTGCCCACTTTCAAAGACACGAGACAGGGAGATTTCCACACAATCTAAAGACATGCCCTATCAAAGACACAAAGAAGTTTGTTACAGAACAAACAAACAAAAAAAGAACACTGTGCTGTATCAAAACTAACCTGTCCTGTGAGTCTGTCAAAGGTACCATCCTTGGTGTATGGGCTTGATAAAACTAAGTCTCTTGTTTGACTATGTAACTGATTAAAAGATGGGAATCAGTAGAAAGAAAAGGACAGTTTTCCGCTGTCAGGAAATTGCTAGCAGACAGTAAGGTCCACTAACTCCACTAAGCCTCTTGTTGTGTGAAACTCCACAAATCCCATATAATCAACACAGCAGGGAAAGAAATCCTGCTGTTTTCACTCCTAGTAATTAACTAGAGCAGCCACCAGTCTCAAGCAGTCCTCAGGCAGACTGTCTGAGACAGAGTTTGGGTTAGACCCAGCCAGCCCTGTCTGCACTAAGAGACATCCCAGGAGGCAGCAGAATTTACAATGTGGCCTGGTTTAAGCAGTGGCATGGGAACAAACTCACAGGTCTAATATCAAGACAAGTATTTATCAAAAAGGGTATGAAATCTTCTGGAAAGGTAGGAACTGCATTAGTTACACTGAAAAAACCCAACACATGCCACCAAAGGGGAAGTCCAGCCCAAAGAGCACAGCTGTGACTCCTGCAGCTTCCTCAGGTAGACTGCAAACCTCAACATCACTAATGCTGATGACTGTCAGGGAAACACTACCCTGATCAGTCCACAGCAGTAAATAAGGCTGCTTTATAGTCCAACACCAACTATGCAGATGGCAGCACCCTTATGAAAACTCCAGCAGATTGCTAGCCCATCCTTGATCCTATAGGCAAGCATCACAAGCAGAAGAGGTGCTGCCTTCTCTGCAGCTAGACACACATATTCTAGAGGTCCCCCACAACAAGGGTCTTTCAGTTTTCCCTCCTGTTTTACCAGCAATGCAAGCTCACCCAGGAAATAAGGCTTATGATGGTGTAAAAGTCTATAGACGGCTGTATAAGCACACCCACCTGACTCTTGTGAATGGAAATGGCCCATGCCAATTTTAAAGGCAACTGTTGACGACTCAGATGAACTCCTGATGGTCCTTTGAAGACCCATTTCTCCATTTTGATGACCTGTGTGGCCCCACAGAGAAACCTCACCTTAGGCAGCCCTGTAGGAATGGGAACAGAAGATAAACAGGGATGTATTCCTGATACTCAACAGCCTGGAAGCCAACAGCCTAAAAGCCTTTTTTATTTTTCCCTCCTTCCCCATGTCAGTGGCTGCATTAAAAAAAGAAAATCCCACACCAAAAAAAAAACCAACCAACCACCCAACCCTAAGCCCACACAAGTAAATAGGATGTTCTGAAATTATTTTTGGGATCTACTTAAACAGAAGAATTTAAGTCACATAATTTATCAGTTGAGATACAAAGAAAAATACACATTGCAGGTAGAAGAACTTTATTCTCCAAGAAAAGCAAACCAAAAAACCCACCAAGACTTGCTTCAACAGAACAGACAGGAAATGCGAGTGAGCATACACATCTAGAGAATAAAGAAAAGCAAACACAAGAGGCCCTACAGATAGCTACAGCAGATGCAGGCCCATGAGAGCCACAAGCCTCTCACTGCAGAGAAGACCTCCTCCCTGCTTTCCCTCAAATTATTCTTACCAAGCAGTAAACAAAATTAACAAGTCATCAGCCATCAACGATAAATTGTTTTGGTTTTTTCCTCGTCCTTCAACAAAAGATCAAAAAGCTTTCTTACCCTTCTGTTGACTTTCAAATCCTACAACAACTCCTCGTGCCCCATTCACCAGCCCTTGAGACACATCCAGATTCTTAGCTAGCATCACCTACAGAGAAGAAGAAAAATCCCTTAGCACACTGGCTTTACAGCCTGTTCAGCCACCTGCAGCTAAGGTTCTAGCCTGGAAGCACAAGCACAGCAGGCTGATATGGCCACAGCCACATTATCCTATTGCAGGATAGAGCGCCGTCTCCAATTTGATTGAAATTATTTCACAGCCTTTCCTTCCTAGGATTCCCAACTACATTATTCTGCAGCACTGAACATTTGATTTGAGCTGCTTCTGTTCACAGCTGTGAGCTCAGATCCAGGGAACAGATTCCCCTTCCCCAAACACCAATAAACCTAGACATATGTAGATTCTGGGAACAGGAGGAAGGAACAACTTCTTAAGGCAAACAATGCTGCTGCTAAGTGCAATCCTGCATCCTTTCCACTCTGACAGCCCTAGCTCACAGCAGGGTGCCCAGTCCTGCAAATTTGGCAAGCTATGCCACACCCTTGCAGGTCAGGAGGGCTGCTGTACCTGGAGCTGAGACTGCAGGCAAGGACTGCCTGTGCTCTCTACGACCCAGAAGTTTCTAAACCTGATTGGAAATATGTGTCAAAGTCACAGAAGTCACCACTGTCCACGACACATGGACCTGCACTCAAATCAGACTAATTCTCTGGATAAGATTCCAAGCAGAAAGGATACAAAGATTGGGATAGAGTCTTCTGTTCACCTGGCATAGCCACTCTATACAGAATCTGCATTCTATACATTAATCTACTCTATGCATTTATCTGCTATTCCTTTATTTTTCTTATGCCATTTGATCCACTGGTCTTTCACAAATGTATGTACACACACTCACCTGAGCTCCAAGCTTTAGCTCAACTCTACCACCCACAGGACACTGAGCATCAATTAACTTCGCTAGCATTGGGTCACTGTCCAAAGCCTCAAAAGTGTGCACTTCTCCTATTAAGGAAAGAAGAATGTCACAAATTGCAACCATTGAATATATTCCACGCAGCATTGCAGGAGGCTCAGCGTTTATTTCTAACGGCAATTCATCTTTTAATATCCATTCTGCTCTGCTGATAGGATATCTTCACACAAACCTTGTCACCTCTAAGAGCAGAAAGCTCACTATTGCCTCTCTTCCCAGCATAACTCCCAGAGCATAAGAAGGCTCAGGAATCAAAAGCCAGCAGTAAATAAGAACTGAGCAGTCACCATTTTGAGCATATGACCAGTTTCACTTGCTGTCAACACCAGATCTCCAAAGAGGACTAAGAAAGAATCCTAGGACCAGACAGGGAGGCAGAAATGAAATAGCCCTTAATTCAAATCGTGGCTGGATAGAGCACGGCCTTTCTGAGATGCTATAGAAAGAAAAAGCAGGGGCATGGAGGCAATAAATGACCTACCCTACCTCACAACAAGCAATGAGCTTGCTGTCTATTACACACCAAGAAGTAACGATGTAGATTTTTATGCAAAAAGCTGTGAAGGTTTAACCCAGGCAGCTCAACTCCAACAGGCACAGCTTGGACTGGTGCTGCTGTGCATGACAGAACACCAGTTCCTCCTGACACCTCAGTATCCCCATTGCATCCACTCAGAGCTCAGCCCCAAAGCCAGCAGCTTCCTCCAAGGAGTTCACCTGATAGCTGTTGCAAGCATCTCTCATTAGTTATTTCTACATCATCTTTATGGGTGCAGAGCCGCGTAGCCAGGATCCCATCACGCTCAGACCTGTTAGCAGCAGTCTGCATCAGCAGTCTGGTAACCTCCTCTGTGCACCTGGTAACCAAGAAAAGGGGATTATTTTTTAAAGTGATCAGGAACAGGTCTTGAGCAGCAGTAATCTCCTCACAGCCGGATCAGGCTGTGCAAGCCCCATGCCTCTAGAGAGAAGGACAGAGAAAGATAACTACACAAAGTTGGAGAGCAATGCAATTGTGTGCCCCAGTCCTGCCCTGTCCACTGCCAACTCCAGATCCATTGAATTCCTTAGCAGAAATTGCAAAGAGGGACCCTAGAAAGGGTCATTCCTTACCAGAACAGCATACATGAAACGTGCTTACATTAACTAAAGCATTCATAGCTATTATCCCCAGCCATGCATTCCTGATAGAGCACAAAGAAGTGACAAACTGCTCCTTCCTCTGCTCTGTCAGTAGGGAGCAGGGACTACAAAGACAGCCAAGTTTCTCCTTACCTGCCTAAACGAACTGCACTCAGGAGTGAGACAAAGGTCTTGTCGGTCTGTCTCCGCACTTCAGTCAGCTCCATGTTTATGTGGATGCATTTCCTCCAGCTTTTTGCCTGGCAAATCATTCTCTTGTCAAGAAAGAGGCAGACTTGAAGTACAAGAATGAGTTTAGGGACAGTTTTGTACCTGGAAGCAGAACTTGGTTTCTTCATTAGCCTTGCAGACTGGGGGTAGCTGCAAGAAGTCCCCACAGATGATTAGCTGAATTCCTCCAAAAGGCTCATCCCGTTTTCTGACTACCCTGAAAGGGAGGGAATAGAGGAGAAGTTCTGAATGCCCTCCAGGCCCTGGTCATAGTCAGGTCTCAAGTTAACTTGTTAGTCTGTGAGTATATTCAAACTTATAACACCTGCAGTAAAAGATGATTATTCTCAGCTGTATCAGAAGAGCTCAAATAATTAAGCAATGCTATTGCAAGACATAAAATTTGCTTTGGTTATGCACCCCAGATGTCATTACCAGTCTCGGTTCTTTGTTAGCTGTTATGCTGCAAGAGAGAATGCTGGATACAGCATAAACAGACGGCTGTATTCTGGACTCAGCTCTACAGAAAACACTTGGCTCCAGAGTTGGAAACAGCAGCCACAACAGCCACAGCTGGGGAGTGGGGACACGATCAAAACCTATCTCAAGATAAAGGTCTGCCCAGATGCTGGCTATGACTTCATGCTTCCTTCCAGTCCTATGCCAGTGGCTGCCTGGTATCCATTCACATAACCAGAGCAAGGAAGCAGCCCAGAAATTTAAGGAAGTTAATTTCTGTTAGTTGTTTGACCTGATGATCGCTCACCTCGCTACTGCCTCCAGCTTGTCAAAGAGCTTGCCATCCACCATTGAGATCTCATCGATAATTAAGTGCTGGCAGGCCAGCCAGTGCTGGCGCACCCCAGGCCGCTCTGCCAGCTGAATACACTGTTCCAGCGGTGCCTTCCCAGAGCCGATCCCTGGCAGGGGAGAGGAAAGCAGAGCTTTGGGAAGCTCCTGACTCTTTGGGACAGAAGCAAGAGCTCCCGTGCCCTCGCTGTTGGGCAGACCGCTACCTGCGAAGGCGTGGAGAGTGGTGCCGCCAATGTGGCAAGCTGCCACTCCTGTGCTGGCTGTGGCATAGGTGCTCTTCGGAGGGAGGGAGCCCACAATCTTCTTCAGCAGGAACGACTTCCCGGTCCCTTGGCGGGGTGGGGAGAAGCGTATCAAGGGCGAAGGAACGGGAGAAGCAGGAGGTCAGCTTCACCCGGTGGCAGCCGCCCGGCCCCCTCACCTGCACAGCCGGTGAAGAAGACGCTCTTCCCGCTCCGCACGGCGCCCAGCACCGCCTCCTGCTCCGCCGAGAGCCTCGCCAGGGGCCGCCTCTCCGCGCGGGGCACCTGCGGGACGGGCAGCGGCGCGCCGTGAGAGCGGGGCCGGCAACCGGGGCCA